GTGGACTATCTTATCCTGTAAAGCATGAATCATTGCTGTAATTACTGGGTCAGTGTTACGTTCCAACATTGCGTCTAAAAGATCAGAGACCGAGCAATTCCGATAGTCGGTGGTTTCGCATTGAATGGACTGATAAAGTACCATACCGGCAACTTTTCGTGATTTCTGAGACACTGTTTTTGAATTTTGTACGGGTCTTTTACCAGCCATATCTACAACTACCGAGAACCAAGAGCAAACAGGTTAATTCACTAACAAAACGCCACGTAAGCCGATAGTCAATTCACTATCAAAACGCCACGTAAACCGAATCCAAACGTGTTGATACTACCAAAACAAGTGTCGTTGTTGACCCAAAAGACTTAGAGTTGTTGCAAAATATCTCACGCTCACACTCGTCTTACTATCAGCAGCGTGGATAGTTGGTAATCAACAAGAAAAACGTCAGATTTCAAAAGAAAATAGCAAATTCGACTCACGAATCACCAACTCCCTTGGTAGTTGTCATAGCCCAGGAAAACGCAACCGCACGGTATGGATGCAGATACGTGGAAGTTAGAGTTAGAATATATGAGTTCTGTTGTTGAATACGATTCCCTTATTCCATTTAACCTCTCATCGACACAACAGGAGGATAAAGTTTACAGTCAAATCTTATCATTTTATTATGAATTATTACAAATCATGGATGCCTAATGTTGCGCATTGCTATCGGTTAATCAAGTCAATGACAAACAACAATATTAGACAGGGATTCCCTTGAAGAACTTTCCCAGTGACTGTGAAATTCTGTTGGTTAACAGATACATCAAAGCTTTGCCGAGCAGAAGCGTGGTGTATAATCTTATTGCGACCTTTGTCATTTGTTTCCTACCTTTCTCATTGCAGGACATGAAAATGGATCCAACGTATGGTCATCAGATCAATCCAGTTTCGCGCCTTATCCAAGTGCTTCAAGCTCGTTGTGAGGATGAGCCACAGTTTGAGTTGATCTCAGAGCAGGGTCAGAGTCGCTATAAAGAGTTCACTGTGCAGGTACGGGGTTAAGTACTTGGAAAGTCGCCCTTATCGTTAGGAAAGACTTCCGTTTTTCTAGGTAAGCTGTGGTTCACGTATTTGTTCTGGAAGTGGACCGAATAAGCGACTGGCAAAACGTGCAGCTGCCGAAGCAATGCTGGCAGAAATAGGTTATGTGAAGCCTTTACCTCCACCGGGAAAGAGTTTGCTCAAGAAGAAAACCGATTCTCAACTTAATATAGGTAGTTTTGTTGAGTGTATCCTGAATATTCTTTGGCAATTTGTTTGCTTGAAGGTGTCTTTGATCCGAACGATTTGGTAACTCCACCAGCACAAAATGCTACAGGCAGTAGCTCTTCGACGCAGTCAGATCAGCAAGATTCTCACGCTTCTGAAGAGCAATCTCTCCAGGAAGGACTACTGTGAGTTGTTGTTCGAAATGAAATCAGGGCCTAACAGAGGTGTTCTCAAGCCAACAGTTATTTCAGAGCGCTTTGTGTTGATGATCAGACTAGTCCTCAAGCAGCTCGAGTTGATACCACATGGTCTTCATCGAATGATGGTGAAAGTGGTGAAGCGTCGAATAATGTGCCGCCATCACCTGGTCGTCGTCGTGTTACATTTAGCAATCAAGTGAAAGCGTGTCCTCCACCAGGTGGGTTGCAGGTTCTGCGGTGAAGTTTTCTCGCTGTTCTCTGCCTTGATTGGCTTCTTTCAGAAGATTTTGGAAAAAGTCGAAGGATAGTTAAATTGAAGTTTCAAAACTTGGTGTGAAAATTCTACGCATTTAATGTGTGCAAAGTACGAAGCGCACAGGCCCATTTGTGGGCATTTTGATCCGTGCATTCCCTTGTATCATGGTAGATTGACCCACTAATTAGAGGCAGACCCCTTTAGGCCTCAATGGACGGATTTTTTCTGATACTGTCTTGTTTCTTTCGAAATGTCCGTTCAAACAGTAGCGGAAGGTCTCATTGATTTTTTTTGAGTTTTCTCACTAACCCATTACTTTGGTTATGAAACGAATAGGAGTCGTTCACTAGTTCAAAACATATAGTTATAATTATATAATTATACATTTAGATGATAGCAAATATCCTGAACCAGAATTAGCACCGCTTAAAGCGGATGTTTTGGTAGAGGGTCGAGTCAAGCGTATTAGAAGAACGAAGGAGGCAAAACGGTGGGTTTTAAAAGCATCAGCGATTCCTCGCCTTTTTTCTATAATCGTTCTTTTTTCGAATTTTCATCAAATATGATTTTTAAGGGCTTTATCTGATGATCAGAAGTGTGAGATCCGTGAAATAGCAAGAGTATCGATACAAGCGCTACAGAGTCCAAACATGATCGCCTGTAGTGAAGGTATCAATCAATTCTCATTGTATTAATCGTATTGTTTGAAAATTGCTCATGATTTAGAAAGTCCCATCCCATCAAAGTCGAAATTTGAGTTTTTTGGTTCATGATCATATAATGTAAACATAATATACGATCAGGCTATGGATGACATTAATTTTCTTGGTGACTCAGCGTTTCTTGCTTGATGAATCGACTCATTTTTATTTACTTTGTCGACCTATTAGAGCTGGCTCGTAGAATAGTGAAGGTATAATTCTACCAGCTTTACTCTTCACAGACTTGAGGAGGTCTTGGTCAAGCTATATCACTGCGAAGCTTGAGGCAGAAGTTGTTCTTAAAAACGCTTTCCCATTTTCCTGTCTTTTAGCAGTAAATTACCATCCCCTGCGCAGTTTAATGGAATTCTACATAGTAATTGTCTTAATAAATTCTTTGGTATTGCCATGAAGCCCTGAAGTTAACTAGTTAGTAACTATGCGCAATCGACGGGCCACAAGGGTTCGGGTGTCTTTTCTTTGCATCTCCACAAGCGTAACCGTTCGCCTTGCACCATGACCCTCATCCTCGATGAGGTGATTTCAAATGTTCTGTAGTTTGTCACTTTATTTTATTTTATTTAATCTTAGCATAAATGGGATGCTTGTTATCGTATTATTTATTTTGGGTTCAAAAAACCCATGCTCAAACTGTGCTTCATAAATCCTTCAGTATAGGGTATGAATGATCCTAGGTTTGTACGTTCCTTACTTTAATGTGAACTTAACAGGTGCTCCAGATTCGGAAGCTTGTCAGCTGCTCAGTGCTAGACGTCGTCTCGATAGCATGTCGGAGACCTTCAAGTTCAGTGTGCAGTACACGAACTTTCCTAAGGTAATGACTTCCATAATTAGTTTTGATTTCAGAGGGATTGTTGAACCTAGCACCATATTCTATTGAGTTCTAAAAAGCGCGCAGGCGGAACTCTCGCGAGCAATTTTATTTTCGTTCTTTCCATGTTCGTTTTCATGATGATTAGGATTTATTACCATTGCGCCGAACTGTGAAGGGTTGATAAAAGAATTCAGTTCGCTCTGATCGAAATAAGCGATGAATTCGAGAAGCATCCTTTGCTTTTGTTATGAATCCCTAAGCTATTCGAGCGTGCCGCTTTCTTTATTCCTTTTAATAACTGTTTAACTTAACTCGTTTTCATAAGTTTTCTCTTCACTGCATCCCACTTCGGTAAAACCTACGCAATGCTCTAAGATGGTACCGGCACATTAAGCGCTCTTAATCAAAGTGATGCAGTAAAATGAGCTTTTAAAGATTGGAAATATAACTCATCCATTTAGTCACCTGATGAAAGTGATCCTCTGTATTTTGCACTCGTCTCACTTGGATTGGAGAGACCAATCGTGAGTTTTTCTTTTGCCTTCATTATTAGTCAGATGTGGTATGTTCATTTTGTGTCATCATGGGGTTCCCAACTCCTATTTGGCCATACTGCTCAGGTTTGTCATGGACGTGGTTCTACGATGGAAGCAGCTGCCGAGAATGCTGCTTTCAATGCAATCTCAAATCTTTGCACTTATGACCAGCCGATGTCTCCACCGGAGCCACAACTCGGCCCACTGTCACCTTGCAACTAACGGTGCCGTCAGTCCTTGTCCAGTCGCTTGTTTATTCAGAACCGTTACTAGCCTAGTCGTTGCCGTTTCCTACACTCACTTCAATCGTTCAAAGAAACGAGTATGAAACACGCTTAACGTTCAACGTTTTCACGTCGTACTAACAAGTAACATAGTTGTTGTCAGGAACGGCTAATCGTCGTCGTTTGGTTAGCGCTATATTATTCCATTGTTTCTTCCTTTGTTTCTTAATCCGGTTTCTAGAATGTTCAGTTGATTCGACCGGTTCATCCGTGATATGCTTTATGCCTAATGCACATCGACGCCATGCTCTTCGGTTACGGTAGTTGTGCTAAACAGCTTTTTTTGTTTTGGCTATCTCCTTATTTGTTCAGTTTTTTTCTTTGTTCATTGCTGATGCTTCGCTTCCAATCACTAATTCCATAGTACAATTTTCGGGCGAATTTGTGCATTCTCTGAAGTCAACCTGACTTCTATTCATTTACTTACCGAGCTGCAATTTAATTCCAAATTTGTGACCTTAAATTCTCACGGTGTCTGCTAGTTAAGAAATTTCATTTAGTACGGTTCATAATCATTGGTCGAGTCATAGTGATACTTGCACGCCATACTTCTTGTCGCAAAAGTAACGCATGGTCTCTCTCAGTGAATCATGCGTGAACTCACAGGACTTCCTGTTCGTTGAACTTGTCTTGGCCATCAAAAAATGTTATTTACGGTGAAAACTTTTGTTCAGTTGCAATTTCTTTGAAAAAGCTGCCAGATTACAATTAAAATAATATTTCATTCCTAATGTGAGATCAATTTTGGAAAGGGCAATCCAGGTTGCATGCCGTTGATCGGTGGATTGTGCGCTTTAATTGGTTTATTGCCGCGTCGCAACCGCTCGCGGCCATTTTCGCTCCTCGCAGACATCGCTAGTTTAGGCAACTAAATCTTACATTGCAACTCAACAACAGTTTTCATGGCTTGGCATTTTTGTGATTCATCTAGATCATGGTCAAGCCTGAGAAACTAAATTGAAATCTCATTCCAATAGGAATCTTTTGTTCCTTAGAAGGCATGCATAACGTGTTAGCTCGTATTAGTGTTTTTAGGTACCAAATAAGTGCTCTTTTTCTTTGCTTTTCTTCATTGAACCTCAACTTTCAAGGTCTTTTTCCATAATGCTTTTACGTACTCAGATCTTAAGTCAGCACTTCCAAGTGTGCGGAATATCCAACCTATGTGTGCTTGACCGTGATCTAGATCCTCTATAATCCAGCGGCTTGCTCATAATCGGTGTGCTGTGGTGAAATGTTATCAGTTCCTATACTACTCAAGTTAACCCCCTTTATCCCTTCATTTACCCTCAGCGGCAACCTGTGTTACATCCGTACCATATTCTCTTACTAAACGCGGTTTATTCTCATCAATGTGCTGTGTTTTGAATCTAATCCAAATCACTTGTACACACTAAACGCTCATCGAAATAGACTCGTATGGCATTATTCATATTCCTTGTGTGCCACAATATAATCGGCTTTACTATTAGTTTATAGCAAATTTCGTTCCTATTACTTTCTTGTGAAATTGCGGACCCTAATCCCTTAGTGCAATGCGTATCGACTGTGGCTCAGTTGCAACGCGTGTCGACTGCGGCTCATTTGCAACGCGTGTCGACTGCGGCCCAGTTGCAACGCGTGTCGACCGCGGCTCAGCTATAAGATTACACAGTTGAGTAATAGGAACGAATTGGGCTATAGTTATGCAGTGTTCTTGTAGTCTCCATTGAATAAGAGAGCTTATGCTTTCAACGAGAAAATCATTTCTTCATATATGTCTGTGTGAGTTTCGCGTCAAAACTGTTCGCCAATAGGTGCTGTCCTTGCATTGTGATAATCCTAAGAAAAGTACTCATTTCTAAAGTGATTCTTTGCCTTTCGCAAGGGTTTTTCAAAAAATTATTATTTCTCTGTTACTGATTTCGGTGTCAAGGGGGGTATACACGTCAATCACCATCTGTGTTCAATATCTAATTGATTTAGCAAAGTGTCTTTATCGTTTTGATATGTGATTCTTTGAGAAGCAAGCAAATATTATTGTCTAGGTTCTCTCTAGTTTTCCTGTAGTGTGTTTATGCCATTTTAATGTGTATTCGGTGACTTGGCCAAAGGCTAATACAGTAAAAGAGGCGCGCATGCGGTTTCGAGCGGTCAGTTGACTGACGTATCGCGACCGCGCGCGTCTGAGGATGGAATTTTATTTCGCGGCCAAAATGCTGAAAACACTTCCCTCTATGGTATTGCTCTAATTGAAATATTTTCTCATTGCTCCGAATGTCAAAGCTGCTGAATCTGTGTGTGTTCGTCAGGTGTTTTTTTCCTGTTTATTTTCTGTAATATTTGGCGCACTTAATGATGATGTGATCCAATCTGTGTGGTACTGTAATGTGCTTATGTTCTCAAATCATTGGCAATTTAACGAAATATGCTCACTTCTAGTGCTATCTTACCATATCGCACGCTTTAATGTTTATAATACCAATATTGTATTAATCGATTGATTGATCGACCTATCAATCAATAATCCACCCGAGGCATTCGAATCAAAGCATAACCAAATATCTCGTATGAGTGATAGATGATAATGATCACCTCATATCGTATCTTGTCGCGTCATATGTCACGCTCGTAAATGGTAGTAATGTAGTGTGATAATTTACTCGAATAGTCTGTCTCCATGAGTGTGTACTTCTTTCTAGCTGTTATATTCTTTTTCATAATGAATATTGGTGCCGGATCTTGTTTTTTGTGCAAGAAACAGTTTTCAACGGGAGGCGGTCGTTTGGCGCGATGGGCGGGGTCGCGCCGCCCATTTGAGCCGTTCAACTCGTTCAGATCGCGTAATCTTCCGCTCTCNGGCGCGATGGGCGGGGTCGCGCCGCCTCAAATGGGCGGCGCGATCCCGCCCATCGCGCCAAACGACACACTCTTTTCAACGGTTGGGAGCCATGCTACACGCCGGCAATGCGACGTTCTGCTCGGGACCCACTGCAGCAACTGGTCCTGAGTGAACTTGCAGGGTTGTAATATGATACAAATAGTTACCGAGAAATATAATAAGTGTAATCATGTAACTGATCTTTGCCAGTTCTCTTCAGCCAAAAGCCGTTTTCAACTTTGATTGGCACTTTGCTAGCGCCCGCTGACTACGCCCAGCCGCCACAACTGAACCATCATCATCGATCCATCATGGGACACGCGAGGTGTAGCGGTGCGAAGTATGAATGCAGCCAAAAGACGTTGGTCTGTCTAAGGCCGTCGAGCGTTTGTTAATTCGGATACATGGAGTACCGGGAGGACAACACCTACTTTCTAACTCGAGCTTAAAAGATTAAATGGGATGCAGTTTTACTTTTACTGGACAGATAATTGGCATGAATAGCTTACTAGCAAAGCCTCTCAACTACGATATGACACAGGGAAGCTGATGTTCGTAGCTGCGATGTCCCAGAGTTTACACATGGAACTGTGCTGCTAACAAGGCTAGTCAAAGCGAGTATAGAGGGCTAGAAATGTCGTATTCACAGTGAATTCGCGACCGCAAGTAGCAGCAGATTCGCGTACCGTATCCTTCCACTGGGAATTCAAATCTTTCCCTTTGAGAGCGCGCGCCTCAGCGCGGTTACGCCGTGCGGGTAAGAGGTACCACCTAGCATTGCTAAATATGTGCAAGTAGTTTACAGCCTCTCTCTTGCAGTGACCTCGGTTTTTACGTTACGTTTTATATAGGCAAGGGATCATGTTTTTTCAACAGTCTAATGCTTCGACTTGAAGAGTTCACCACTAGTGATTTAGGTCCAGGTATGGTAACGGATTTCCCTTGTCTGGGATGGAATCGTAGCCTCGAACAAGGTGATCACCTCGAAAGTAGAGAACGTAAATAAACAGAAAACAGCGCTGCCATTGGCGGGGGCCACCCCTCGTCTCTAACACTAAGAGTCAGAGCGCAGAGAAGGAAGAATAACCGACTTTGCGAGCCAGCGATGGTTCCCAGAATCATTTCCTAGCCAGGAGAATATAGGTTTTTCTCACCCTAGCCTCAGAAGGGAAGGAGCACGAGGGTCTAACAACTTCTTCCCCCATCCCAACTGCATTTTGCACGAGATAATCATCTCCCGTGCTCCTTCTTAATTCTTACATGAATAACTATACTCCCTAGCTAGGAGACGTTTCAAAGCTTCATTACGGGTTCACAAAGCCGGCTACCCCTCCTTCGTTGCTCTCCAATGTACAGTGTTAGAGAAAAAGGGTGATCCCTCCGGATTACGATTCGTCCATATTCTTGATTTGTTAAGAAAATTGATAACTAGATCATCAGAAAAAATTGGTAAATGGCTTAACTGCCACCAAGTGTAGAAAAAATTGCGCGCTCCATGGTTAACGCCTGGCGCCAGCGACAGCGACCCGCGTCGCGTCAGCGCTTTTACGCGATTTCGGATTTCGAGCGGACTTTTCAAAAATTTCCCAAGAAATTTGAATTGCTTCTCGAGTTTTTGTTTTTTCTGAATCTTTTCGAGCAAACTCCATAGTCTAAGTGAGAGCCTGCCCTTTTTAGGAGTGAACACTACAGATTTTCGATTATTTTCTTCCTAGAGCACCTTTTTCGGACACGATTAATGCTGTCGAGTTTTGGTTGAAACTGTTCGTCTAAGCAGATTTTCGGCTTTTTATGGATTAACCAGATAAGTGCGAACTAAAAAACACTAAAAAACATTCCAAGTGCTTCATTTATAAGAAAAACTAGTGTGCTGGTTGAATAAATATTGAACCATGCCAATTTTTTCAACAGCTTGCCTTTTTGTGTGTCGTATGTTCTGACGGTGAAGATTATGCTTTGTGCTTTTTGTTATCAGTTCTATCCTCTTTCCAGATTCGCTATTTTTGGCTATTTCGTACCTGGAGGTGGAGTGAATACTCCTTTAATGCTTGTAGTTTACCCTTCTTCTAGGTATTCGTCGTCGTAACCTAATGAAATGAATTATTGCTTTTGTAATAAACCACGAAGCAATTGTGGCCATCAAAGGATAAGGAAAGCTGCTGCATTGTGAGCTACATACGTACTCCTCAAACCTAATCGAAAGACGAAAAACAAAAATTCGCGTTGGAAATGGGGAGGGAGAGTGAGCGACAGTTATAAATGATCCTAAGAGTTCTGAAGTCTGATTTGTTCGCAACAAATACGCCGGTTAGATGCAAGTAAGGGTCCGTATTCTGGAGATGCGGAAGAAAACTCAGCGCGGATCCAAGTCCCAATTAATCCCCTAATGCTTCATCATACTAATTGATAAGTCATATTTAGCCGGATTTTATGATTGGTAGTGGTATGAAGCAGTAGGGAGTTACGGTAAGAACTGGAATCCATATTGAATTATTGTTTTTAGGAGACACGCCGTCTACACTTTAGCTCATTGGGTTATAGATGTGTCGTTATTTGCATCCAAAAGAGGCTTTATTCTTGGCACTTGCTCTAGCTTAGAAGTCCTTTCCCTTCAACCTTCAAACTCAGCCGAGGGGGCAATAGCCATACCCTTATACTATATTGAATCGTATAATCACCCATAATTTATTCCACAACGCATGATCACGATGATCTTTCAATTTTTAGTGAAGATTTGCTTATAAATATGTCACTGATTCCCGTTGTCGGGCGAAAAAAATCTTGTTTGGAAGAGTTTTTATTACGAAGGATGTTTACCTCTAAACATTAAATGTGACGTTATCATCACCATTATAAACGCGAGGAACCATGAATCGTATTATTTCCTCTGACTCCGTGGATGTATGTTTAGATTACCGCAGAGCGATTCTTCTTTCAGGTAAAAATGTCAGCGTTTCGCCATCCACAATCTACGCCGTTACGGGTTAGTGTATATTTCATGATAATTACTTTTTTATTGTTAAATTACTGGTTTTGTACAGATTATCAATTGGCAGGATGAAGCTTTACAAAAGGGTCAAAAGGTTCTTGATTACAGCGAAGTATATTTAAACGTTTAAGAAAAAGAGCCGCTACTCGTCGTTTCTTGAAAACTTTCAGTTATGAGTGCGCTTCGGGTCCAATATTGCACCAACATATCAGCATATATCTTGTACTTAACATACATCCATCAACTTTCGAGTCAGGGATCGACATTCAAGCAAAAAGTGACCGTCAAGTTACATTTTTCGTGATGAGAAGTAGTATGCGCCATGAATGAAGCAGCGATAAAGGGTCAAACGTAAATGTAAGGCCAAAAGAGAAGTAAGGTAAAATACTCCGAGAGGACAGCGATACAAACACATTTTCTAGAATTCGCAACGTTCAATTGCCTGTGGGCAATTTCCATCGTGATGTTCAGCGTGTTTCCAACTGCATTGTGTGCACGTAGCCTCTGTACAATTTATTTAGCGCCTGCATTTGGTACTGTGTGATGAATTAAAACATCTGCAGTTATGGTACTATCCCTCATCTAATCTAGTCGCTATGTAGCGCTCCTATAAGCTTGCCTTCCTCCATTAAGTCGTGCTGAATTGAATATTTTGTTAGATAGAACTTACTTTGAAACTCTTTTCGTACTTTGCCTCTTCAACGAAAACATTCCAGAGTCAACCCGACTTTGCCATGAAAGCTCCAAAGCCACCTGATCGACCATTGGTCCCATATATGCGATACAGCCGGAAAATGTGGTCAAAGGTATGGAAGTCTGTCTTGGGTTCTCTATTAGCCTATCTATTAATTATACATGTGTTTGGCGTACAAATATACTTACCATATGATCGTTAAACGTCGTAAGTGAGTGTTATCATTCTAAATGAATCTTGCACTACAGGTACGTGCGGAGAACCCTGATGCACAACTTTGGGATATCGGCAAGATCATTGGGCAAATGTGGCGTGATATTTCAGATGCGGACAAGGCAGTCTACCAACACGAATATGAAATCGAAAAGGTTGTTTTGAACTAGACTTTCTATTCATTTACACTAAAGAATTTGATGCTTCAGGTCGAATATGAGAAGGCATTCAAAGCCTATCAGAACTCTCACGCCTATCAACAATATGTTAATGCCAAGGTTCGTTTTGGAAACTCTTCATTTGAGAACTAGTCGCTGATGCATTTGTATACTTTGATGCCCTCATAAACTGATTGAGGCCAAGAATTGTCTTTGGGATTGAGAAAGATCCGGTAAATTCTGGAGAAAAACTCTGATTAGATAGATGGTGCATGAGCGTTTTATATACCCATTCTTACACTCATCACTTTTGCAAGCTTGAACGTGTATGGGTCAGGAGACGCCATCGTGGCAACCTATACCGGAGCGGCTTTTGCCGTGCTCTGCATAAGGACTCTGCCGCGCCCGTTGTACGTATGGAGCCCGCGGTGCATAAGTCCACGTACAAGGCAATGATGGATCCTCCCGACTCATACTGTGTCTGAGATTTTCGTGACGCAGAAAAGTTTCACGTGGAACAACACAACTATGCCCAGCCCTGAAAGGTAGTACTTGGGAAGGCGATGGTGGGTTGTGTTTCAAGCTCATGCTGGTGTAAGAGGTAATGAAAAAAAGAGGAAATTGTACCTTTGCTTAGATTAGTTATTTTGCCTATTGATTTAATCAATTCTTACCCACTCGATTAGGGTGAAAGAGCTTCTCTATAGATGAACAAGGCTAATTGCTTCGCACTCAGGGAGACATATCACTGATCGATGTTAGTGGTGTAAAAAACTCGGAATACAAGTTCAGTAACATAATCGTGCAGGTAGCGCTTTTGAAACAACTGACAAGTAGCCTGGAAAACCAAGAATCTGAGTAGTTAAGCAATTCCATCAATTTTACAATTTAATCGATTGAGCCGCAACGTTCAACTATTTAGACCCGAGCAAAAGCCAATGAGAAATCATCACGCAGTCGTATGGAAGTTGGTGGTGTAGTGATTCAACCTGTTGATGAGGAAGACGCTGGCAATGAATTATCATGTCGACGACTTGCTGCCGTTCGGTTGGTTCTAATTTCTGGTTTTGGAGTAAGCTAAGTAGTCTGGCGTTGAAGGAAGTAGCGAAAGCCCATCTCTGCCAATTTTCTACGTTTCTTGTTTTTATTTCTAAGAAAAATTCAAATTTTTGTCATCGACTTGACATTTTTTCTTGAGTACCCCAAGCGATGGCTTTCCAAAATATTGTAAGATTTTGCTCTGCACCTTTAAACGGAAAAGATAGCAAGTTTGAGGCGCACTACCATATCCGATTATACCAACTTAATGAGATGTATTCTATGATATTATTGGACATTATAGTCAGAAATATTGCAGTATTATTAGTGATCTGTACCTCATTTTGGACTTCTGGGCTTTGGATCAGGTCTAACATTTTCAGATTTGATCGTAATCATCGTCTTATTGGAGATCTCTTCTCACCAGCTGTTGTCACGGACACTCGAACGGTCTGTTCGCAAAGCGTTTCTAGTTGTTTTTTATACCATTTGTCAATACAAATTTCTCTTTTTGACATTATGTTGTAGTAGTCGTTGCACAAGCTGCGATTCTCTAACACTAAGAGTTTGACGGATTAGTGGCTGAGAGAACTTGCCAGAACTGTTGTCCAGAACTGTTGTTGTAACTTTATTGTTAGCATTTTTCGAGGTTAGGGCTGTTGAATGTGAATATGCAATCGCGTGCTCCGCACGATTACGATAAAATTTCGATTTTGACTGATAGTTGTAGAGGAGCAATAACCGTGCTTCTCTTTCATTCTACGTTTTAGAGCTCCGCTCGCTATGACTCAGGCTATAAAATCAATTTTTCATATTCAAGGTTGTGGCTCAAAACCGTATGGATATGTTGCGAAAGCAAGCTCAGTCATTATCTGCGCATCAGAGTAAATTGGAGGAGGAACTAGTCAAGTAGGTGTATCGTTGCAATTGTGTTTGGGAATCATTCTATCGATCATCACATTATCCAAGTGATCGTATTCAGATTGGAAGAAATTCATCGGGAAAAGAAGCGTCAAATCGAAAAGGGCAGTGAAGAATTTGCAGAGAACCTGAAGAGGGTATGAACAATTAGTAATGCGTGTAAATCATGGGGTAATTTTTTTTTGAAGTAAATGTCTCTCCAACAGGTGTGTGAAGAGAAGCCCCAGCTAGACGAAGCGAAATATTCAGAACTGTTGGAAGAGATGAAAGTCAAGTTGCTGGATGCTTATAAAGAGTATAAAAAGAAGCAAGATGAGATCAATGCGAGACTCGGTGAGGTTTTTTTCTTCATCCCGTCGGCAAACGCTTAAACTAGTCACAGTCGAAATCATAAAGATTTTTAATTTTGCATTAAATCAAGAATGTTTTATGGAAAGCAGTTCATATTCCAATTACTGTTTTGATACTTTTGGATGATTTTGGGGCCAATTGTTTGACAGCTGAAGGATGAAAGGCTCGGATAGTATTCCGTCAAACATGCATGTTCTAGTAGTGCCGCTAGCCAATCCAGTGCTTTGTTCATCTCGTTCAAGCAGGCGAATAGTTGCTCCAAGAGGCTGAAGTTCTATGTTGCCCTTATTCGCGTATTTTGGGAGTTGGTTTCCGCCCCTAACCTAACCAAACTTTTCGATTCCCAAGTTGGTCAGCTGATACAAGATCGTTTGCGGGAGTTACTTTTTGCCGTATTCATCGAATGATCACTGCCGATTTCTATACAGGCTGAATGAGCAGTCGAATGACGTAGCGATGTCCAACTAAAATGTGTGGTATGCCCCAAAATAGGACCGGTCTGGACTTCTAAAGAACTTTTGTCGCGGTCTTTGTCCTGCACATCGCTCTTCATGTCTGTTATTTCAGCCGCTGAGCGCGAAAAGATCGTCGAAGAAACTCCTGTGTTGGCAGAGCTAGTCATGGGTGATGAGAATGATACAGATACAATCACAAAGGCGCCAGAGCCAGAGACTGAAGAAGAGGAAAAGAAGGAGGAAACGCCAAAAGAAGAGAAACCAGCCGAAGAGGAAAAGAAGTTCGAAGAAGAGCCTAAAGAGGAGCCTGAGAAAACTGAGGAGGCTAAGTGATCAATGCTCACTTCACAAGTACACCATACAATTTTGCATCATTTTTATTTTCTATGTATTGTCAAAATGCTTCGATTTTATAATTTTCTATGTAGTTGGATTCTGAAAGCATAGCGACGGATTGGTTACAGGCAGTACATCTGTGGCGGAAAAAAGACGGAAAAGTGCCTAGAACTCCAAAATATGGGTCTTTTTTTTGTCTTCAAATGTAGGGCGAGACGTCATTCGTTGCGGAGCAGCGTGTGCGATTTCCTATCCAGTTACTTTTACAAAAAACACGCTTCGTTTTGAATGGTGTTACACGTGGCACAGCCTTCACAAGGCCCTCAAACACGTTCTTTTTTAGGAGGCAGTGACCGGTTTTGAGTTCTATATAGGGAATTCTTCGACGCGATCACGTCCTTGCAGCTTTTTCTGAGACCACAGTTTCCTCCCATTAGCAAGTTCTCGTAACCATTTGTCAAGTTGCGAACTGGTCCCCTAAGTATTTTCATGCCTTGAATGTCTTTGTATCACTTTCGCCGTTATCATTGAATTCATTGGTAATTCTGTTTGTTTTTATAGTTTCGCCAGATTGTTCCCTAACCCTTCTATCAGGGTACCCTGACACTTACTTAACATCTTAGTCGCGTTCGAGTGCATAGGAGTCAGATCAATCCTATTTAACGGTGTTCATAACTAGATACGAAATTGATTGCGATATATGAGGTGGAGGTGGTTTGTACGACCCGCCCCGTTTTGATGAGAATCGTCCAAAGTACAAAGTTTCTTCGAGCTCTGAGACCAAGACTGAACTACGTTTATGAATCTCTGAAATGGCGTATCAGTGAAGAGGATTTAATACCTTTTATATCTCATTATCTTGAATGTTTCGATTTAGTCAATCGATACCAGTCTGGTTCTTTTCATAGGCTCATTTGCCCCCTCATCATTAAAAGGTCGTATTCCATCTTACGCGTTACAAAGGGTTCTCATTCAAGTCATTACTCCTACTACAAGTTATGCTGAGTTAAGTTTACTTGGGTAACTAGGGTGGAGCCATGCTGGAAACGGATACGTTTGATCAAGTTGTATTTTGGAGTTTGCTTGGAGGTTCCCTTGTCAGTTGCACGAGACTATGTTCCTTTGTGCGAAAAATGCTGCTAACGGCTATCTCCGCAATTTTACAAAGCCGTTAACTTCAGTGGTCTTATCCGTGATAAGAAGTATTGATAAAAGCGCAACGTCCAAGCAGTTTCTGCAAGTTTTCTTTGTTTTCTGATCTCGTTTCATCGTAACTTTGTAATTATTTCGTTTTTTTTGGATGCCGTTGTAGTAATAAATCATTTGAATATATTTTGTAAGCTGAATATTGGCAAGGACAGGGACGCGGCCGAAAATGCTTAACGGCCATTGTTCAGGCTTACTATGATGAGCATTTTTAGGGTTACAAAAAAATGCCGCAAAAGTTTGAATCGGTGGCTACGAAAGTTCGAGAATTTCTTCATGATAATGCTGAAAGACCGATAGCCTTCATCACGGTAGGTGAGTTACGGTCGAATACCCACAGCATTTTGGGCAGAGGTCGGTAAGGGTTAACGTTCATGTCGTGTGGGGGTTTGCCGAAGATTATAGTAATTTTCGAGTTTTTTTTTTCCTGGACAGCTCTTCCCATGGTTTAAACTGTTTACCGATACCTCTAGACAGTATATCTTAGTCGATTTTGGTTCTGCTTCCGTTCCAGTTCAATTTTAGCAACGTTATTCTTATCAATGGGTTTCTTTACCTTTTTTTATTCGTAGTAGGAGCAGCAAAAACACTCGAACCCAGTTTTTGTGATGAAAGGTCTCATAAATGTTATCATGAGTTCATTGTTTACTGCTTTTTTAGAGTGGCGGAACAAAAGTGAATTTGGAAAAGAACTGTGTACGTTTTATAGACAATTTTTCCATGGGCACACGAGGAGCAGCTAGTGCTGAGTGAGTTTTTTCCGAACTTTTTTTCTCACTTCAAAACATTCTGCAAAGGTCATGATTGAGGCTATCACTCGAAAAGCTGCCCCTTTATGAGTGATACTTATCAGTTTCTTGGTTTCTTGTTCGGATCAGACGGGTAGCTCATCAATGGTCATCGATCATGAACTTCAGAACAGAGCTCGTCTGTCCTCTGTATCTTGAAGCCTTTCCTATACTCACTTGATGATTTCTGCAGCATTTCTTGGTTGAAAGCAAAGCAGATTTTCGCCAGTTTTTCGGCATCATCCATGCCTCAATACCAAGCCCTCACAATGCTCCACTTAGTTTCCATCATACTTTTGCTGTGAAGTTTGTGAGAGTAACAAAACACACCCTGATAATGAACGGTTGACTTTGCGTAAACGAATGGAATGAAAATAAATTCGATTTAGATATTTCTTGAAAACTGGCTATGCAGTGATATTTCTACATCGAGAAGAGTCTCTGAAGCCATTTTCGCGAAACTTTCCTCATATTTTCGAGTCACTAAAGATCGACGATGACCGCGTATGTTCCTATCAATTTTTCCTTTTTTTTGGATTCTGTCAATTCCTCACTTGTTAGACATTTGAAACCGGTTCGCCTGGGTTCCGACAATGCATGTAATGGATGGTGACATATAGGAACTAGTAGCGGTGCGATACGTTTTTGATATGCTTGCGTAACTGAACAGAATGTAGAAAGCCAGCAGAAGCCATCGAAAATTTACTTTCAAAAGCTTTGTTGTACTCATAGCCTGTCAACGTGTTTAGGGCAATTACATTACCCCGTCAAGCACGTGCTACTCGGCGAGACAAGACTATCGAAGAATCACGCGCGCTTTGAACTGATCAAAGATAACGCTACACACCTTTCTTATACTCAACACAAGTAATCAAAAGTCTTTGGCGTTAACCAATTCCACACTTGAGATGCGCCCCGGCATTCGATTTTCATTCAGAACCGTAGAGGCGGCTTGAATGAATGCCCGGCCTTGACAATGACGGTGGCCAACCGATGTCACGAATCAGTGCTTTTATCCACTCCGATGAGTATGTTACCAAAAAGCCGACCCCGAAGAGTTCAAGGCTTTTTGGCCCAGACGAGCCGGTATTCAAACCTAGGACTGTGTATGCGACGCCCCTCTTGCCACTTCACTACCTCCATGCTACAAAACTCATTATGAATAAAAATAGTAATGTTTTTATCTGTGCAGGTGGTATGCGACTTACCTCGTATCAAAGAAGCTATCGAACATAGCATTGAGTACAAAGATCGCCTTCTGTACGTTCCATTCACCACGTTGGAGTCTTACTACTTTTATCTAGAAGAGGTAATCAAACAGTTTTTCTTGTCGTTTTGGCAAAACCTTGAAAAATTCATTGTTAGATAAGCCGACAGTTATCACCACTGAAAGCGCGTGCGTTGTTGTACTTGGCGGCAGCTGTTTCGGACTTTTACATAGAAGAAGAGAAGATTGTGAGTGTTCGATATCTTTCCTTTATTTTTATCATCTTCCATGGTTACGTGACTACTTGAACTTTCTCTGCGTCCCTAACAGTGAAAGGTTAGGGTGCAGAGAAAATACCGGCTGAAGCCCACGAGGTGGGGGTGGGTGCTAATAGTCAGACAAGCGCAGCAGCTAGCGACTGATTAAGTGGGAGTGCGACAGACGAGGACGGAAAAATAGGCGCAGTCATCACAATTAAGAATACCGAGTTCAAGTAGTCCGTACGCCTTATTAAATTGCCGCGATCACGCTGAAAGCCGACCGGCTTCCTGACACGATGGCTGCCTTCAGAATTTAACGATTCAAGCGACGTCCGTCCGTCCATCTGACGCGTTGCGTGCGTGCGACGGCGGCCTGGCCACTTGTTGACAACACTGGATCACGTGTCACTGTTGTCGATAAGTGGCTAGGGCCGCCGTCGCACTCACGCAACGCGCCGGACAGACGGAAGTCGGCTGAATCTTTGAAGTCTAAAAGCAGCCGATGGGTTGCCTCAGTCGCCTCAGGAATGTCTCACTGCTTTACTGTTCAAGGTATATCTATCAAAATGAAAAGTGGCAAGCCAGATAGTGTTAAAATACAGAAACGAAAATTCAGTACAGGTACTCCGCTCTCACAGTTACCTCTGTAACCTCTAGCTTCTCTACCTCTTTCCCAGAGCCTTGCCCAAGGCCCCTTTTTGACGCGGGTGAGAGTTCGCATATTGAAATGGGTTATGCCGTGCCGGATTACTGCATAAGTCGAGTGCCCGTACTGAATTTTCGTTCCTATGTGTTGACATTAGGTTCGTAATATGCCGCGGTATTGGTTTATTTCATGAATCTGGGCCTAACCACAGCACGCCCAATGCAGCTTTTGTGGCTTGGACAACCATCGTTGCCCTTATTGTCTGCTGGTTTTTTTCGTTTTTATACACTTTTGTATACTCATATAGGGTTGTTGTATACAGTCATGTTCTCAGCCATTCTTCCTAACCTATCGTTCTATCTCATGGAAGTGATGTATAATTTAGCCGACGCACAAGATACAGTCTGCTGGTGGTGGGTTGGATCTACGTCTTAGTCTTGCACCAAAGGCTATTGAAAAAATCGTCAATAGGATAGTGCCGGAGGCTTTTATCATATCCTTTAAGGTAAGGATTTATTTTAGTAACCTTCATTTGAACCTCTTAGGAAGGAGTCGAGGTTTTTATGGTCATGCTTTGTTGTGCAGAGTGTTGATTTTTCTTTACTTCTAATGAGATTCTATATTTTTTACTCAGATATTGTAAAATATTCCAATTTTTAGCTGGAAACCGATGATTCGATATTGATAACAAAAGCACGAGGAGCGTTGGAAAAATATAAACATCAGTTGGTGATCGGTAATATTCTGCAAACAAGAAAAGTGCATGTGGTCCTCGTAGACGCCCATAGTACAGAGGATATCGACTTGAGCCAGGTAACCGCTTCTGAGACTTCTCATAGTTTGCTTCTGAGACAGTTTGTGGTTATGCTGTTACAGTTATACTTGGCTGTGTTATCGTACTTGCCTGCTGCGTTTATGAAAGGAGGAAATCCAGTACGGATACTACTTAATAATGTACCTTTCTATTCGGTCTGCTGATACTACTAGTAATCAGAACATCTGAAATGTCATAAAACGTTGTTCTACTGCTAGCTGTAAGATGAGCAGAAATACCTGGTACCAACTGTACAATATCAGTCTGTAGCAAAGTGAAACTATGGTATGAATTAGGTTCTGCAGTGAATTTCCATTCATCTCCAAAAATTCATCTTCATTCTCTCCATTTCCAAAAATGACAATGCTCCGCTGATTTGAACTAAACTCGAACCTTTGGAACGTTCTAGTATACGTTTTGTATTTCTTTTTCTATCCTTCTGCCATAATTTAAGTTATTTTAAGTTATTTATAGCTCGAACTCATGCCGACTAATTTAGGAACAAGTGAAGAGCGGAATTGAAATTGAAGAAAAAATCATTGCAAAGATCAAGGAACGTCACAACGAATTCATAAAGAGCCAACAACAATGATTTGCTATTGTAAACAAGATGCGGCTCGGCCTCAGCAATGGGTTTGCAAATTTGACCGTTCTTCTAATAATTTATAATCTCGAAGTTTTTGTAATCTATGACTCTCATCCTTGATTTTTAAGTCATTGTTGAAACAATTTAACTCGTTGTGCATTATGCTGATGAAATTTGATCGTGCGGTCGCTGAGCCTCAAGCGTAACAACCATAAATGTAGGAAAATTAATTGCAGATGTTAATGTTCATATGCCACTTTGAGTTGAGCTAGCCGCTCCGCAACCGCGCACCCATGTGGCACGTGAACGTGTCTCGCTTATGCTGCTTCATGTTACGTACTTCATCTTTTGAACTGCTAGTTGTGATTAGGTCTTTTCACATTATTCTTTTACCGTGGAATTGTTTTAATTTAATTATTTCTGCAATATAAAACGAAATGCTTTGTATTCCTTATTTAATGGTGTTTTCTGTGATAGAATAGTTTGCTGTAATTATATTTATATGTTACTTCTACGGACCTTTCGTATGAAATCAAGGTATTGCTTGTTTACCGGAATTCATGGAGGGCTTATAAGTAGGTACGGTAAATGCGTTGAGTGTTTCACGACTGTAGAAGTACGACTTCGTGCGGAACGGTTACTGTACTGTTATGAGTTGTCTATAGAAGGCACTGCTTCTGATACTCTTATGAACTGATGAATTGATTGTAATTGGGATGAATAAATTATTTTATTTGTAAAATGTAAAAGGAATGAAGCGTTCTAGTCGCCGTCGATTCCTGAAGGATTTGGATTTCAGATGTTGCCATGGGTTTTCACCAAAGCCCTGTTCCTATCGTTTCAGTTACTGCTTTATTTTGATCCGTTGTTCTAATGTTGTTGTTAGTTGCTTCGTTGGAGCAAATCAGCAACCGATCGATGGGTATCGGACATTTTTATCAGAAAGAATCCCTTGGAGCAACGTAGTTATATGACACCCTTGTGAGGCCATGGGCCAGTTTGGAGAAGTTTTAAAAGACAGGCTACCCCGCGATGGCTCCCCCACATGAGTGTCATTCGTCATTCTTGAGCCCTAATTTGAGCTGCTCCCCGAAAACCCCTTCTTTTGACGATGATGTTGGTCATTGCGTCGTCTGAAGCGCACTTGTGCGAGTATCGGTGCTCTTAGAGTTGAACGACCGACCGGCCGACCGAGCGACGGCCGGCCGCGCTGGCCATGTGTTGACAACGTGGGACAGATGGCGTTCAGGGCTGCATGAGTTCTGACGTTCTGACGGGGGGGGGGACCTAGGTGTCCAGCGTTGTCAGCTCATGGCCAGCGCCACCGTCGATTACGTCGTTGGACTCTGAAAGCACCCTATCGTTTGGCTATGATAGGTTTTTTCATGCAGCAATTTTGTGATGTCTTGGGTCGTTTTCTGGATGGAAGCGACCGTTCATGATATTCTCCAAAGGATGAAGAAAATTGTGGGTGATGTTACAGATTAGATGGACAAATATGTGATATCGGAAGAGGAGGAAGTGTATGATGCTGAACCACCGTTTCCTGAATCAATGAAATCTGATGTAAAAGTGATGGAACTGCATAAAAATACAAAATTCGGCAATATCATCGATTATGTCAATAAATTGTTTGAGGTGGGTGTCTTTTTAGACGAACTATTCGAGATTATTTGTTGTTATGTGCAACAATTATTGTATTTGAGAGCCAAATTTGCGCGGTTGAGACGCGTGCGGTCGCGATGCGGCCCAATTGACTGTTGCACAAAGAGCACGCACACTACCCTGAATGAATGTCTGACAAAAGTTGAGATAGGTTTTATGTTAACTTGTGCATATTGAGCGATAAATTGTTTAGTGGGCTTATCAAACCGACTTTACCAGGCCGACTTCATCGCGACCTGACGTTCAACCTTTTGTGACCATGCCCGATTTCTCATTATTCTCAGCAGTCAATTTCAGGACGAGACGATCCGGCGAGTAATTTTTCGTGGAGTGGGCGATGCAGCTGATAAATGTGTCTCGTGCGTGGAGGTGTACAAACGTAAACGGCAGGTAAGCAATGGTGGACAGTTTCTCGACAAGATTGACGACAATAGACATTTTGTGTTTCTATCTTTCTTTTTCGCTAAACAACCTGTTACCCTACCGATAACCCACAACTTTTTGGGACCTTTTGATGCTTCTCCTTTGACCTTCTATGGAGCATGGACTTTCCAGGAGGAGCTCTATCAGTGGACCGCTCTCAGTACAGCCAAGCGGGTGACGTATTGGGATCCACTTGTGAAGGGGATGAACAGGTGAGTTCTACAGGATGAACCCATTCTATCCTTTTTTCATCATGAACATTGTCTTTGGTTGAAAGTAATGTGTAAGGGATCCGAGGGCTGCTGCGCGATCGCAGCGCTCGTCTAGGCCCATTTGCAATCAAACGTGTCTGTCCTGATTCAGGTTAAAAGTTACTGTAGACACCCCAGTGATCTTCATAATGTTATCACGTGATCCATATCCAGTTGAACTTCAGTGTATGAGGTGCAGTGAATATACTTATTGACCTAGCCATCAACAGCAATCGATTATTGATGTTTATAGTATGCAGCAGTCATCGAATAATCAGAAGAAAATGCCGCCGAAGTTCGGGCCCTCATCGTCAGCGAAACGCGGCGGAGCCAGGAAACAACAACAACAACAACGTGGTGGCCGAGCCAACAAATGGGCCCGCCCTGCTAAAGCAGCAAAAGATACTCAAGCTCAGGAAAATCGAGAGATTTTAGAAAAGCTGGAAAAATTGCCTTGACCCTTCGTTTTTCATATCAATTACTAGAGTCATAATAGTGGATTTGAGCCAGAAATTCAGGAAGTGTTGTGTCTAATGCAATTAATCTGCCATGGATACACATTCAATTATTAGTTGTTTTGGGACGCACGCGGATGCGCAGCGTTGACGCCTTTGCAACCTCCGCTGCGCATCCGCTCGCGGCAATTTGATTGTCATTTCCGCTAGTATTTTCATAATGTTAATTATGGTTGTGTTGTAATAAGAAATTAAATATGGTTGTCTCATTGATCGCTTATTTTTAGGTTCATCCTAGAAACTTCTACCTTNCCCCCCCCCCCCCCCCCCCCCCCCCCCCCCCCCCCCCCCTGATTCTTATCTCTGAGTATCCTGCACGCGTCTTCAGAAACTCCTTCCGAAACTTATAGGCCTGATCGATTGCTGCTCCCACACTTGGGCACCGTGCTCCACTAACGGATGCACGATCGGCCGATGGGCAGCCCTGTTCTCTCCCTAACTCCAACATCATGCTACTACGTACCTGACGTTGGTTTCAGTTTAAATCAGTGAGCGGTGGCATTTCCACCTTCGATCTGTTGCACCTGTAATGTGAGACCAGCGTCAGATACGGAGCGGTGGCCTGTCATGGGCAGCAAACGAGCATCCGATCTAGACCTGAGCTTTTTGTCCATGCTCAGCATTTCTAACATTTTCTTTCGGTCTCCAGTTATTGAAGCTCATTTTTCAGTTTTTTGCTGTGATTATTGAAAAGGTGAAAGATGTTAAAGAAGCTGAGAATTAATGAAAAAGTTGAGTTTGGAAGTTGAAAAGGGAACTGGAAGCTTCTCACTTTCACCCAGTCATTCGACAAATCTACCCATGTTTGATGGAATGACCCAGTGTGTATTGAAGTTAAGGACTCGTTCTGGCTAAATGATGGCGTCCGCCATTTCTCTTCTCTTCTTATACTCTATCACTCACTTGAGCAACGTGAAATACGTCGCAAGCAGTGATTCAAAGTGAAGTACTGGCACGATTGGTTGGTGGCTTTTTTGATGGCGAGTCATGAATACATGGCAAAAGGAAGAGAAATCCTAGAAGTACCAGTGTCCCTATATCCAGTTGACTTTGAGTTCAAACCCTTTGGTATATTTGGAACGCGATCAGATTGTAGGTTAATAGTGGTAAATATTCATTATACGCCAATGCTACACATTGTGAAATTTCGCATGATTCGATCCAGTAGGAAAGAAGTTACGACTGAAAAGTACAACTGA